TTTTATATAGTTTTAGTTAATATAAAAGTATACTAAATACCTAATATTTCTCTTTAAAGTAAATATAGGTATATTATATAAATAAGTTAATATATTTATAGGGTAAAAGGATAACCTTATATAACTAAGTAACTATTTCTTATAATAATTTATTAAATATTCTTAATAAAGTTAATAAGGTTAATAATATATTACTCTCTATATCTCTCTATTTCTATATATATATTAGCTAGTTAAATATACTATATATAAACCTAGTTATTAAAAATAGCAAATAAATAAATAAAATAAATCTAAACTATATACTACTAATTTTATTATTAAAATCTTTACTCTCTTAATTTATTATTCTTAAATATTTACTCTTTATCTTTATAAATTAAGCTACTTCTTAGTTTATATTAAAAGTCTATATATAAATATATTAGTTAAATCCTTTTATATAGCTATACTTAACTTATTAAACCTAAATATAAAATTAATAAGCTGCTTTATAACCTCTATATTACTTAAGAACTATTTAATCTTACCTTTAATTATAAGTATAAAACCTAATAAAACTTTAAAGTTTTTAAATTATTTTATATCTAATTCTTAAAGTTAATAAATATTAACTACTTTATCCTTAATATCTATTAATAACTAATAGAAAGCTATATCTTATTTTATAATACTAAGTAGTATATTTTTCTATAACTATTTAAAGTACTATAAAATAAGATTAAAAGTAAACCTATTTTTAAGTATAACTAGTAATAATAATAAAATTAATACTTTAAAATAAAGTATAGCTAGAGGAGTACTAACCTTTATTAGTAGTAATATTAGAGCCTCTATAGAAAGTTTTATAAAAATAAATAGTAAAACTAATAGAAGAGGTTAATAATATAGCTATAGATATTAATATTATATATATAGTATATAAAGTAGTAGTATATTAATTTAATTTATAAAGTAAAGTTTACTTCTAATTAATAATATTTAAAGAGTATTATTTTAAATTACTTAACTATTTAATACTATATTTAATACTACCTCACTTATTAATATAGTTTTCTTTACTATTTTTCTCTTATTAGCTAAGGTTTTAATTATTTTAAGTATTAGAGTTAATAGTTTTTTAATAGTAATATTACTATTTATAATCTTTAATACCTATTTAGCTATAATATCTTTAGATATTTAATAATACTTAAGGTTTACTCCCCTATTAGTATAGTAGTAATACTTATTATTACTATTTAAATAAGAGTTATATTTAGAGGTAAGTAAATACTTCTATTTATACTATAGTTCTAAATAAATAGTTTATACTTACTACTTTTATATATAAAGTTCTATTAGTATTAAGTTAAGTTATTAAACTAATATAGATTATATATTATATTACTTAAGCTATACCTTAGATAATATTAGTTAATTTAATATAATACTATAGTTATTATTATCTATTTATACTACTTATAAAGTTAATATTATAGAGTAAAGTATATTAAATATAGATTAAGGCATCTTAAGTATAGAGAATACTACTTATTAAACTAAAGTGCTCTACTTAATTATAAAATATATAAAGTATTAAAATAATAGTATAAAGTATTAAAATAGTAATATTAATAGTATCTTAGCTTATTATTAATAAGTAACTATAATAAGTATATAATTTTATAATAAACGCTTTAAACTATTTATACTTATTAATAGCTTTAGTTATTTTTTTAACTTAATATCCTTAATAATAATATTAATAAGTTAATCTTAATATATAAAGTACTATTAATAAGTTAATAAGTATTACTTAAAACTTTTCCCTAAAATTACTTCTTATTTAGACTTATAAGATAAGTTTATATCTTTAATAGTAACTTAATAATCTTTATATAAATAATTAAACTTCTTTAGTAGTTATTTTATAATATTATAATTAAACTATATTATAAGCTTAATAGTAAGATTATAAGTTTTAAATATATAGGTATAGATATTAAAGTTAAACTTTAATTTAAAACTAAGAAGAAATATAACTTTAAGTTAAATAAGAATCTTAAACTAGTAAATCTTAAGTAGTAAGATAAGTTCTTTAAAGTTAAAGAGTTTATTAGTAGTATTAAAAGTAAGTTTCTCTTAATATAGTTTAACTTCTTTTTCTTCTATAAATCTAATATTTTTAAGGTTTTCTAAGCTTATTATATTAATTATTTTATACTAAATAAATACTTCTTCTTCTTTAGTTTTATTATTAACTTCCTCTTCTTAATCTATATTATTTTTTATATTAATATTATTTATATTATTTAATATCTTAGTTAAGGAGGTATTTAAAGTTTAGTTTATAAAAACTATATATAGTTTACTTAAAAGTATATAAGCTTAAGTTCTAGTTAGTTTATAAATATTATTACTTCTTTAGGTATAGCTATATAAGTTTATATTTATCTTTATTAATAATAGGTCTATAAAACTTTTATTATATAAAGATATACTTTTATATTTATTTCTAATAGTTATTAACTTTATAAATAACTCTATAAGTATTAGTAATTAAAACTAGCTTAATTCTTTAAAAATAATATATTTTAAGTTTAATTAAGTGCGCTAAGGTATTATAAACTTTAGCTTAATCCTTCTAAAAGCTAATAAAAGAGGGAATAACTTCTTTATAGCTATTATATAGTTAATTATATATTATACTAGTATATATATATATTATACTTTTATATTATATTAAATCTTATAATATATATAATAAATCTTAAGTTTATAAGGACCTATAAACTAATACTATTATATATAATAAGATCTTACCTCTAAATATATATATTACGCTTTATATAATTCCTAAAGCTATAGATAATATTAAGATATAAATAAATTAATATAAATAGTATTAATTACTAGTAAACTGATTAAAAACGATAAAAATAATAATATTAATTAACGTTTAGGGTAGTAGTGTAGCTAAAACCTAAAAATCCCGCATTTGCAGGGGTTTCAGCAAGGGCAAACGCAAATGAGTGCGATTAGGGTAAACGTGTAGGGCGGGGGTGCCCCTGCGTCGTTAAAACCGACGAAGCAGGTAGCGTCCTGTGTAAAAGTCTCGGTTGGTTGTCCTCAGAGTCTTTGTTCTATGTCTTACTCAGTCGATGCATTTTTCCTGTCCTGATCCGTGGCTGAGACTCCGTCTGTGATCGCAGGGGCGCCCAAGGGGACTTAATCAGACAGTCAGTAGATCTGTCATTTCCTCTCGTCAGCCAGAGCTTCTTGCATTGCCATCTTTTCCCTCATTTCAGCTGCTGGTTCGAGAATCAGCAGGCACAGGCCGTTGAACAGCTTTGGCCTCGAACGCTGCTCAGGGCGATCACGCGACATCAGTAATAATTTGGGACAGATTTATTGCTTCTACTGACGGGGATGCTGCACCGTTTTCACATGGACGGTTTACAATTCCCACTACAGCTTCGATCATCATCAATATGGATGTTGTGATTGAGGTTGGAATCACTGGGCTCTTGCAAACACGTGTGATAGCAACATTTACTAACCCACGCGAGGAGATCCTGAGCTTGTTCTTCAACCTAAGTAATTAGTTCGGACTTGACCTCCAGACATATCTCGAGGTCCACCACATGACGAACTCATGTCCAAATTGGAAAATCTCGCCAGCTCTGGCGCTCAGGGCATTCATCGTGTTCTAAGCCAGTCTCCAGGGGCTCGGCTCGTACCTGTCGCGATATCCACGGACCCAGCCGTCCCGTAGTCGGAAGCTACCTACTCCTCTGCAGCGTATTCGACTTGTACTTTCGCGAAGACTTCCTGATGGGGAAGCTGGGCTCAAGATGTGTGAACAGATCATGGGTGCCATCAACTCACGTAGTGACCACAACGCTGATTCTGTTGATGGGAATGATAGACGAGACTTTCTTCACTGGTGCATCCTATGGTTAGTCTGGTGACTGTGGGCCCTAGCCTTAATGCCTTCTTTGCCATGAACGAGGGCCCTGAGCACCGGTAGACATACCTCTGACTCCAAGCGAGTCATCTCAGTCAGCATCGCCTCTGGCTAGAATGGCACCCAACAAGACGATGCGTTGTGGGCGTAGTCGCTTTGAATCTTCATCCCCTTGACATCAGCGACACCACGAGCTTTTAAAGGCTGAAGAGATTTTATTATGATAATAGGACCTCTTGGTATGTGTGCTGCGAAGCTATTGGACTAAGCACTGATCGAGGTCATTTTACTGCTTTCTCCCCTACTGTGGAAACCCCTACTGGAGGGCTCGAATGGACTCGAAACTTCCTCAACATCTTGACAATAGGAATGCCCTCATAAATCATTGGACGAAACCCATTCTTCTCCACCGAATAAAACAACAAATGTAGAAAACAGGAGTACTGTGACCGGCAGTTCATTGATGGTCTTGAAATTGCTTTCGTTTGTGACCGCAAAGGAATAAGCGGTAGGAACAGCCAATATCCTGACTATAGTGCTGGCTGAGCCCGTGCTGAAAGCATAAAGCTGGATTGTTAAAGCAAGTAAAATATGCAGCAATGTATCCCGATGACACGATAAGTGACTTCAACTCAAGGTCTGGGAAGATTGAGGCTGGCTTTCAATAGCTTTCAATTATTGAGAATCGTGGGGTCCCTTAGAGCCAAGACGAGCTTTCGCGAAATATCTAAAGAGGAGGAGATAAAAGCAGAGACAAGCCTGTGTCAAGATTCCAAGAAACTGACTATCCGCCATATCAGCAACAACGTTCTGTGGCACCATTATCGGGCGTAGGGGCTTCTTCCAGAACGAACGCTTAGCCCCGGAATGAACGTGCTTCCACGAACTGGCCCAAGACACACGAACGCATCACGGCACAAAACCCTTCTGTCTCTGTTTTTCTTTCTAGGTCTAGCCAGGTGGCCAATTTGGCTTGTTGGGTGTTGTTGAAATGCCATTCGTGGAAGGGACCGTAAGATGGGCAGTTATGAGGGTTGATAAGCCATCGTCATTAAGAACTCACCTTCGATATTAACTTCTTTGAGGCCAAAATGGCGGTGAGAAGAATTAGAGGTGTGATATTACGCAACAGAACCTCACAGATTAATCCTTCTTGACGCCAAGGACACCGACTCGTCGCATAGCCAGTACACACACAAGACAGACCGCTATCATCCATCCAAACATTATCCAAAACGCAACTCGGTATCCAGTCATCAGAACGACGGGCGACGACTTGTCGACGTACAAAGACTTCCTGGTCATAGACGAAGCAATGACCTGTGTCACGCTCATGCCTATCGCCGCGCCGAGCTGTGCGCAGGTGTTGAACACGGCGCCACCTAGAGCCTGCATGTGTCGCGGGAAGACATCCGAGATGATGAGAAGGCCAACAGTGAAGAGCAGATCGCAGCTGATTGGGGTGAGAATCTAGTAGCAGATATGTCAGTTGCTTCGCAGAAATGGCAACAGCAGTCGCAATCAACGGCGGTTTCACATTCTCACCTGCGCGAAGAATGCGTTCTCCCAATACAGTTGGTTGCTCCGGACCAGAGCCATGAGAAGAGGCGCAACGGTGCTCATCGCTGACGAGATTGACAGCATCCACAAAACCGGCATGCGGGCACGAAGATCCCTGTGGCGTTGCTGGTGAGAGCACCTGCGACGAGGGACGGTACGACCTGCAACGATGCCTTGATCGCGGAGGCTTCCTGGACTTGCTGGAAACTAGAATCTCTCATCAACAACGTCAATATGTGAGATAGGACAGATACGTTCACATACAAGAGACTGCTGTACAGCTCCATGCAGTTGGCCAATGCGTTGGTGAGAAGAACCATGGCGCAGCAACTGGTAAAGACGTGGCTTTTCCACAGCGAGTTGGGAATCAGAGCTGTGCAATCCCGGTTGACTTGGCGGTGCATCCAGCCAACGAAGAGTGGGATCGAGCAGCCTGCTATAGCCAAGAGAGCCATGCTGGATATGTTATGAATGTTGTGAATGTCGGCTGAGAGCGACCTGGCAATCGTCAATCAAAGGACGGTAACCGTAATGGACTAGACACTCACGCCAATACATGAGCCAAAGACGCCAGCCCCGTGCTGGCCAACACGACACCAACGCAGTCAATCTCGTGGATCAGTCTCTTCCGGACGGATGGGCCTGTCTTTGACCTAGTATCTTGCGGCAAAGCCCAGATGCTCAGCATAAACAGTGTTCCACTCGCAGCCGCAGCGAGGTAAAACGCCGGCCGCCACCCCACGGTATCAGTAAAGACTCCGCCGAGGACAAGACCAAAACAAAACCCGAGCGGCTGGGCGAACCCCATGAATGCAAACCCCATGTTGCGCGGCCGGCCCTCCTCCACGTTGTTCGAGATGATTGATATGGCACACAGGGCGATGATGGCGTTCGTTATGCCCTGGAGGGCACGGAAGGCGATGATCTCGCCCCCTGACCGCGACAACCCACAGGCCATGGCGAATACGGCGCTGAAAAAGGATCCGACCAGGTTCACCCGCTTGTTACCGACGACGTCCGCGACAGAGCCCGCCAGCAGCAGACACGAGCCCGCCGTGAGGAAGTAGCTGGAGCTGGGCCAGCCGAGAAGCCCCTCTGACAGGCCGAGAGTGGACTGCATGGATGGTAGTGCGATGACGATGATACCGTCGCAGAAGCTGCTGAAAAAAGGCTGGGCACAGACTTGCGTGATAACCATGGCGCCTTTTGCTTTCGATAAGACTACGGCCTTTTCCGGCGCCGTCGTAGTCTCTGCAAGGCCGGGAGAAATTAGCGGCATTTTTATGCTCGCCGGGGCATCGTGACTTTTTCTCAGCGCGGCGCGTGACGGGGAAGCCGCGGGCTTGAATGTTGCTAACTCCGTGGCTGTCTGTGTTGCTATGGCTTTCGGTGCGGCCGGTGTTAGTTGAAATGGACTTTGGCAGCTGGGGGATGCGAATTTTGTGAAAAGCTGCTTGGAAGACAGAACTATACGCTCAATTCCTGGTCGAACGTAAATTGACTGAAGTGAGTCATTTGCAGGGGTTCTTATATCCTTCGGATCTTGCGTGCCGTTATCGACGCCCTGCACACGGCGTTTCATAGAGGACTGCATTGTAAGGTCCCCTGATTCCTTGACCAGCAGTGCCGAATTTCGATAAGCTTATTATCCAAGGGGCATTTCAGAACTATATATAATAGAGTGTTTCAATTTGTGACAAGTGTCATTCTGACAGAGACGAAGAAACCGCCTTCTTACATATTGCTGAGAGCCATCGAAGAGTTTATGAAAAGGCGTGTATTGCTCAGGAGGAAGTTGCCCTCCTGAGCGTCCTTAAATCATGAGCTCGCGAGGCCCGTGCTAGTCACGTGACCCGCTCCCTCGGTGAGGCTCACCGAGGGGGCTGCGCAAGGCAAAAGGCGTATCACGAGATAAACCGCCACATATATCTAAAGCAGCAGGAAGGGATTTTGACCATGTTCATTAGATTGTTCTACTGATTCCGTAGGCCTCTGGTAGTACGCCTCGTAGAGTTAGCTAATAATAATTCCATTAACTCGCTTATAGTAGGGGGATTGTGGCTAAGGCATACTCCGTTGAGACCGAGTTCAGCGACGGGCGACCGATCGCTTCAATTACATAATTTGGAACTTGGCTGAGGGATTGCACCATTAACCGTCGCCGGTAGCCGACATTGGCGCTGCCGAATGAGAGTAAACACCACCCGCAAGACGACCTGGACACAACATTGCAGGATGCGCAACGCGAAAAGCTGAATACAATCTAGGCGAGAAATATGCTTCAAACGCTTTGTCTTACGACCCCGTCGTATCGGAAAAGCCTCAAACAAGAAATATTAATCGTTAAACCTGCTGAGGCGGTCGAGGGACTCCTGAAGCAGATACCTTAGTCTTCATGTATTGGTCGTGGCTTCAACTTGTGCGTACGGGAGCAGGTACTATGATATCAAATGTTGGGTTTCCGCCTTTTTGTCTAACGTCTCCCGAAAGTGTGAGTGGATCACCTACCTTACCGGATTTTCAGTTCGTGAAACTGACCAAATACCTGTGTGGTAAGTCGAATCCTTTCCTCAGAAATTGCTGGATTGAATGACTGTGCCCTTTTGTTAAGACGCTTGCCATAAGAAGTGGATCCGAGATTCAGAAAATCTTCTAAGCGTCCAGTACACTCTGTTGCGTTAACAGCATCTGCCCCCCCTTTTTGCTGAAATTACGCACGTATAATCCCTATATATATATGAAAATTTACCTAACGCTATATAGATATTTATAGTATAGTAATTAACTTATTCTAATAGCTTTAATTAATCTATTTCTATTAAATCTTATTATCTAAAGGTATTATAATACCTCTTAAATATTACTATATAGTTTAGTAAGTAGATAATAACCTTTTTAGGTATTATCTATTACTTATTATTAATAGTATATAGAAATAATAATATATATAATAATTAGTATAAGATATTACTAGAGATCCTCTTTAATGCTCTACTTTACTATTAATTAAAATTATTATATTTATTAAGAGGGCTTATTAAGCTATTACTACTAAAGAGGTTACTAAAGAGGCTACTAAGGAGGTTATTATTACTAAAGCTAAACCTAAAACTAATAATTTAGTAGTAGCTAAGTTTATATTATGTTAAGGAAGTTTTAAGCCTACTTAGTAGGGGTTTTCATAATAGGGGAAAAAGTAGTAAAAGCACCTTAGTTAGTACCTAGTTTAGTAGCTTTATAGTATATATACCTAAGGGTTTAAAATAACTACCTATACTAACCTTAACTCGCTATACTATTATAGCTATTAGCCTTATTAATAATAGCTTTATTACTAATAAGGTTAATAGCCTTACCTATATAACTCACACTATAAGCAAAATATATACTAGAGATAGCTTTATAAGGTCTTTAGCTATAGAAAAGCTTATCTTAGCTATATACTTAAGATACTACTTACGCTAAGCCTTAAGCTTATTCCTTACTAAGTAAACTACTTAGATTCTTATACCTTTATAATATATTCTTTCTTACTTAATCTATAAGATCTTATACTATAAAGCTTTACTTAAAGTACACCTTAAGATATTAAGATTAATACTAACTATAGAGCTAAGTTTATAGTAATTAGTAAGATAATACCCTTTAATATATAGAGCTTTAAGAACTAAATAGCTATAGCTAAGTCCTACTTTAAAGTCTTAGAAGCTAACTTTAGTAGTAATAATATAGAAGTTACTTACTTACTTTAATAAAACTTCTTACTTAATAATATAGATATATTTACTACTAATCTTAATATTTATACTTACTTTAATAATATCCTTAGTAGGGCAGTATAGCTAGTAAGTTAACTAAGCTAAATTATAGGCATTACTAATAAATATAGATAGTAATAGCATTATATCTCCTAAAAACATTATAATAGACGTCTATCTTAGAGGGTATATATAGTATAAGTAGTAGAAAAGATAGCTAAGCTAATAGAAGGTATATATAAAGGTTAGTAAATAGGTTAGAAAGCTAAAGAAAGTCTACTTCTATAGTAATTAAACCTAGTTAAAGTTATAAAGTTATTATTAAAGTAATGTTAAAGGTGATAAGATTATTTAATAGATAGTATACCTAAGTATATATAGGGGAAATAGGGCTAAAAGATTATATAACTAGTAGGCTGTTAGCTAAAAGGTAAAGTTAGAGGTTATTATAGTATAAGTTCTAAGTAAAAGTTATAGTAGCTAGCTAGAGGCTGCTAAGTTTATATTATAAAGAAAGTATATACTTATAGCCCCTCTATTATTATAAAAAGCTCTAAAAGCATCCTCTTACTAAAAAGTAATAATAATATAAAAAAAGTAAAAAAAGGATTTACTATATATAATCTAGCACTAAAATACTTTACTTTTATTAATACTACTATTTTAATTAAACTTAACTTTAATTAACCTAATCTCTTATTAAACTACTTAATTTATAAATAATATACTTATAGCCTTTTATTATAGTACTAATAATATATCTATATTATTCTATAATATATTTAAAGAGGAGGATAATATAAGTAATAAGGAACTAACTCTACTATAAATCTAAGTTATTTATAGCTTAATACTTAAAGGTAATAATTTATTTATTCTTAATCTAATTATTAAGAGTATTATATATAATAGATTTAATATTACTCTTATATTAAATATAAATACTAAAAACTAAGAGGTAAATAGTAATATTTAATTTAAAGTAGAAGTAGCTTATTTATATATTATAAAGAAAGCTAATATTACTATTATTATTACTTAGAAGAAGTTTACTAATATATCTAAACTAATACTAATCTTTATTTAAGTCTATTTATTTATTAAAAGGGTTATTTAGCTAAGTATTCTATAAGTTAATATTATCCCTTCTCTTAAATAAGCTAAAGAGAGAAGTAAAGTTTACTTTACTATTAAGTAGTAATATAGCGCTATATTAATCTCTAGTAGTATAGTAATTAGTATATAAACGCTTTAAAAAAATAACTAAGTAAGCGTTTTAGCTAGTATATAAGAAGTAATTAATTATAAAACTAATAATTTTATAAATATTAAACGTTAAAAAGAAGGTATATATAGATAACTTCTCTATATATATATCTACTTAAAGTACTAAAGATATAAGAATAGTTTAAGTAATAAGAAGTTTAACTAGTACTATATATTAAACTAGAAGTATTATAAGATTAAATCTCACTATATAGAGAAATAAATAAAAGCTATTATAACTAAATAAGCTAATATTAATAATATAGAATTACTTAAAAAACTATTTAGTAAGATTTTTTATAACTAGTTTATAGAGGATTAGAAACACTAAAGTAAGAGAAATAAGAATATTATTAAGGTTAATAATAACTAGGAAATAATAATAATAGAAGAGAAGGCTAAAAATACTATACTTCTATTATTAAGGTTAAGATCTAGCTTAACTAACGCTAATAGTAATACTATTATTAATATATATAGTAATATAAAAGCGTTAAATTATTATCTTTAATATTTTAATTTATATATATAGCTACTACTACTAATATTATTACTACTAATATATTAGCTATATATAAATATCTTATAATATTTATTACTAACTCTTTTACTATTAAACTTTTTAAATACTTATTAACTAAGTATTATACTCCTAATTTATTTATTTTTACTAATAGTATTAAATTTACTTTAAAAAGCTTTAGATTAAATAGCTAGTTTTATTAAGTAGTTTATATCTATTTATAATAAGTAATATAATATTAATAAAAAGTTTAGAAAGAAACTATAGAAATTATAATTAGTAAATAGTAGCTTATAAGTAATTTATAAGTTATTAGATATTTAGTTTACTAAATAGAGTTTTATTTAAGATCTTACTAAAGATATTAAGAACTTAATTAAATTCTTTATAAATAATAATACTTATTATAGAGGGTAGTTTAATACCCTCTCTAATATAGTATCTTACTTTAAACTTTATTTAAACTATTAAAAGTTAGAGGGAGATATTTATATAAAAATATATATTAAATTACTAAGAGGGATAATAATAATATTAGTTAAAAACTTTATAATATTAGTTTTAAATAAGTTAGAGTTATCTTAATATATTAACACCTTAATATTATATTAATCTATTAAGTAAGAGATTTATAGTATACTTAAGAACGTAGTAATAACTGTGATATGCTATAGAGAAGAACTAGCTAAACGTTAGGGCGCTAGAGAGGGCTATATAGTAGCTTCTAGTACT